ACATCAGGATAATTGTACGTTGGGAAAGGACATTTCTGTAGACACTGTATAGATACCCACAAACAAGCCTAGATGTTAGAAAACTCAGGACCCTTATAACTTTCTAACTGGGTCACCTGAATAAAATGGAAAGGAGCTTAAAGATCTTTTTTTTTTTCTTGTAGAAAATGTATTTGGAAATGTATTGCTTTTCAACACCAACTTTCAAAATGGCTAATAAATAATGAAGTAAAATTGAATCACCAAAATGCACTCATGAGTAAAGAAAAGTAGCGCCACAATAAAAACACATTGAGATTCAGCAATTTCAATAAAAATGGCCAATTAAAAACATCAGGAAAAATTTAATGCACAGACAATTTTATGTGATGCCAGAAGGGCATTCATTTTATTTCATTTTATTACCAGAATATCCTCTTTAGTATGGGTATTTCAAATGTGGGATGCCACAGCTGAGAAGGTCCTTTCTTTAGACACTATTTACCTACTGCTAAAAATGGGAGGAATGAAATATTGAATGTCATATCCATGCATTTTTATGCAAGAATGCAATATTTCAAACATTCTAGTCCTTGTAAAGTCAAGAAATCCTGGAATCAAGCTTAACTTCTGATGACTTCATGGACACATCCATTATATTTCCTGGTAATAATAAATTAGTAATTTGCCCTTGCATTCTTTCAGATTTTTTTTTCAAATACTCTACAGTCCTGGGATTTCTTGCTGGTCACCTGTCCAATTACTATGCACACCTGTTCCTGCTGAGCTTTTTCTAGATCAGCCATGGTTGGCTAAGTGCTGCTACCACTGTGATTAAGCTGATTAAAAAATAATAAACCATGCTTTCAGTTTTACTAGAAACAAATTTTCAGCTGAAATTTTATGACAATGAAGGGAGAAGTTAGTCTCACCTAGCAGTGTTTTAACCTACATTTGTGAACAATCTTTAGGTACATTCCTACATGAAGCATGGTTTAAATTTGAAGTGACACAGATCTAAGATATTTATGTCACTCTAAGAAGAACTAAAAATCATGATGAGATAGTGAAAATTATCACAGCACTTTAACTTAATTTTCTATATTGCATTTAGAGAATGTACGGGTAGACCAACTCAAGGTTTACTAATTTCCACTCAGATCATTCCTCCAAGGCAGAACCAAAGGGTAGCTAAAAGAGTGGGTCCTCATTTGTCTCCAGTTTAATCGCTTCTCTTCTGTATCTGTTCAATAGTGCAACACACATAATGAAATTTTAAACCAGAGTTTTATCAGTTGCAGGTGCCAGACAGGTTACAGTGGACAAAGCAAAATAAAGGAGAATCTCTGAGATATTTGAACAAAGTAAATTTAAATTTAAACAAAAATCCTTGTGTGTCTAATCACACTTGGCCAAATAAAACTATTCTATTCTATTCTATTCTATTCTATTCTATTCTATTCTAATTCTACGTACAGCTGCGGACCTGCGCCTTTTTAGCCGAGCCCTGAAGGCCCATCTGTTCCGTGCGGCCGGCCTGGCGTAGTTTGATTATGTTTTAGTGGGGGGTTTGTATGGGGTATTTTAGAGCAGGCTTGTTATTTAATTTGATTTTAGAACAGAAACTTGTGTATATTTATCGTGGTTTTTATTATCGCCTGTTCACCGCCCTGAGTCCCGTAAGGGAGATAGGGCGGTATATAAATTCAATAAATAAATTAATAATAATAATAATAATAATAATTCCAGTATAAAATTCTCCTTTGAAAGTGCTGCTCTGAGACTCTATGTACGTGTATGTTACTTTGTTACTTGTTTCCTAACATAGGATTATGAAAACATGACTTTTCTGGTTCCTCACCCGGGATGTAAAAGCTGAAGTCAACAAAAATGTCTTTTGCTCATTGTCTGCAACGGAAGAAGAATGTCAGTTTCCTAACTGAATGTATATTACAGAGCACAAACATCAGGAGATTATTGTGTTTGGGAAAGTCTAATGGAGATCTGCCGCTCAGTTATGCTATTGATTGCCTTTTTATGAATTCTTCCTATCATACATGATTTTACGAGCCATATCGGGAGAGGCCTACTTTTTATCTTGATCATTATCCGACATATGAGATAATGAAATAAGCTACCCTTTATCTCTAGAAGGAAAATGGAAAATACTTGGGTTCGATCAAGTCTACTATTTGTGAAAGCAATCCACTTCAGCAGTGGTGGCACAGTGGTGTGTTACAAGTGGTCTTGAGCCAATTTTCATTCAAAGATTAAGTATTTCAAGAAAGGTTTCCTAAAAGCACTTTGATGTTATCAATATCATGGATGGTTCATTAGCACCATCCTTTTTTTAGTTTATTATTTATTTTTTATTTAATGGAAAAAAGCAGTATTACTAAACAAAGTCATGAAAAGAGTAGGTAATCTTCTTCTGAAACTCCATGGAAATAATCTTTGCCCTGACCTGAGGGCCCTGCAAAAACAGGTTATAGATTTGGTACTCTAGACAATAGGCAATGAAGTATATGTTGCCTCTGGCAGGACTGTGGAAAGCACAATGTGGAAGGTTACATGGTCTGAGATAAATCTCAACAAGATGCCTTTACATCAGGATCTAAGGCCAACTATGGTTTTAGGAAACTTTGCAAGATCAAATTCCCTAGCTAATCCATCTCAGGGTGTTATTAATAGCAATAGCAATTAGATTTATATACTGCTTCATAGTGCTTTATAGCACTCTCAAAATGATTTACATAGCATATTGTCTGCAACAATCTGGGTCCTCATTTTACTGATGGAAGGCTGAATCAACCATGAGCCAGTTAGGATCAAACTGCTGGCTCTAAAGCTTTGTGAAATACTTCCTTGTTATTAACCTTGGTTGTACAGAATTCTCAACCTTTTTGAAGCCCCATAGTTGATAAAATGTTTACATTAAAGAACGATTATCCTCTGGATTTGAGAAAACTGGGGAAGGAGCCTACAACTTTAAGCTGATATGGTAAAGAAAGATGTACAGGGTGTTTTCCTGAATTGGAGTGACCTGGGATATTTAGAATCCACTGCAGGACTTCAGTGGTCACTAGATTCTGAAAATATAATTTCCTTAATCATTTGCAAGAAATCAAGGAAAAATGCTATGGCAAATACATCAGTGTATTGTGACATAAGTGTTGATTTCAGCTGATGCATGTTCAGAAAGGAGGGAGGGAGGTTGTATATGCTTGGTTTCTCATTTATGTATATAACATTTTTCAGAATAACTCTGTTAGTACACCCTAACTTGAGAAACTTTTTACAGAATTGGTCTTTCCTTTTTTCAGAATTTATTCTTCATTTCTAACGATAGACAGATTGTGTGGGAGCCTTAAGATATGGAATTTTCAATAGAGCCATTCGGTCATTACAGAAATGACCATATTAATGAGCATTCTTTGCAAGATTCCAAGCACAAAAATTTCTGCAATGTGTACTTCCCCTGGAGCCTAACATCTGTAGTGAACATTTGGATGCCCTGAAAAGTGAAACATAATAAATCAACTCAAGAGTTGAAAAGTCATCTATTTCATGCTTGAACAAAATGTTAATACCCTGACAGTTTGGGAATCTTTAATTTGTGGCTAGCTGTTGTGTAGTAGAAGGTACTCCTAAGTTCCTCACCTGCCTACTTTTGTCCTTGGTTTCCTGAAAGTTGAGCATAAGAAGTAAAGCTGGACAAGTTTTTTTCAAAAACCTTTTTATAAACCAGAGGAGCAATTAGTGGGGACTTATAACTTCCTGAATTCACATTCTGAATTATTAACTGTTATTATCTAATATTCCAACAAAGGAGATAGGAATGTCTTTCCAGTGTGAAGATCATCATTTGAATCATTTTTTTCCTAAGGAATGTTGTACATAATACATCAAATTGGTACATGACTCTGTCTGTGTGTGTGTGTGTGTGTAAATGTATTAACTGCAGCAGATCAGATTTATTGAACAGGAAAGTAAGCTATCTTTTTATCTGTTCTAAATCAAAATGTATTTATATATAATATGCTTGCTGTCCAGTGTTGCAGTAACTCTGTCATTTGACTTATTTGTATACTTTGTGTATAAAACCAAGCTCTGATAATTTTAGTTCCCTAAATTCTGTTCTGAGATTGCATCACATATGTGATTTAAAATACAGCCGGTGATCATGGCATGCTTTTCTTGAATAATGTCTTCAGAATGATAAGATTTCTTGGATTAAGTGTTGTTGTCACAAAAACATTCATAGCTCTACTGGAAATACTTAACTCTGAATGAGGATACATAGTTCCATTTTCATGTAAAGGTGCATTCAATAAGTTTAACTGCATTCTGATTTTCTCTGTCCAGAAGTGCATTCGTCTTCATAACAATCCCACTTTGGAGAATTGGAATATATATACTTCACTGTAATGGACCATAGTCAGATTCCTACAGTGCATAATGCCTTACTCTTTGAACTCATACATGTGTTTATGAAGCAAGCTTTCCAAGAAAATTAGACAACTGTACTATTTAAAATGTTATTCTATTACAACACATTGCTACTCGTTTGAAGTACTGTTATTTGATCATCAAGAATGAAAGAAAAGTCATTCTAACAATTAACCAGTGGAACAACCTGCCTCCAGAAGTGGTGAATGCTCCAACACTGGAAGTTTTTAAGAAGAGACTGGACAGCCATTTGTCTGAAAGGGTTTCCTGCCTGAGCAGGGGGTTGGACTAGATGACCTCCAAGGTCCCTTCCAACTTTATTATTATTATTATTATTACCTCTAGGCTTGAGCTGCTTTACAATACATAACAGGACATCTCTTCTGTACTACATAAAATAGAAATAATAGCCTAGGATTGACAACTATGAAACACCAGAATTATCAGTAAACACTCAAAGTTCTACAAGTTTAAAAAGGAGGGGAGGAAACTGGGGTAAAGAATAGTGAAAAAATCTTTGAAAATATGAATTTCCTTTGCCATAAGTGTTACTCTTTTTCTTCTCTGTATAGGAGGAACCATTTGTGATGGTGTCAGAAAATGTTTTGGGCAAAACAAAGAAATATCAGGGTTTCTCAATTGATGTCCTGGAATCTTTATCTACTTACCTTGGCTTCACATATGAAATTTATGTTGCGCCAGATCAGAAATATGGACTTCCAATGGAGAATGGGACTTGGAATGGACTGATAGGAGAACTAGTATTAAAGGTAAGGAGATTCCTCACCACTGACTGAGAACATATAGTGGGCAAGTGCATGTATATACTTTTATTTTATATTTTAATTTCCTAATTAGTTCTAGTCATTAGACCAAGCACAAATAAAAGGAAATTCAGTTAAATACTACTGAAATTAATTGAATTCTGAATGTTTCTGCCTTAGTTCTTCTTAACATTCCAAACTGAATTAAGATGTTGTAAGTATAATTACCATAGTAAAATGGAAATAAAATAGAACAGTAATTAGAGCACATTTAGCTTTAAAAAGATCAAGAAAGTGGACAAGTCATTATAATACCTACGGGTGTTGCAGTGAGTCAGATTATTCTTGATAGAGTTCAAAAATATTTCTCTAGAGTGATTGGAAATTGTTTATTTAATTTAATAAAATAAATGAAGTACAATCATTATGTTTAAATAAAGATAATGATTAAGATAAAGAAGCATCTTGGGGAGGTTAATGTGTTGTGGAAAAGATGTCAGAGGAAACAGTTCATCAGCCATTTCCCATTTTCTTTTACTTGTAACCTGGCCCAGATTGTTTCAAAATTTTTAACAAATGGAGAAAAGTATACTAATACATTATATACTAATACATGACCTCCAAGTTCCCTTCCAACTTTATTATTATTATTATTATTATTATTATTATTATTATTATTATTATTATTATTATTATTATTATTATTATTATTATTATTATTATTATTATTATTATTATTATTATGTCTGAAATGGTGTAGGGTTCCTGCCTGGGCAGGGGGTTGGACTCGATGACCTCCAAGGTCCCTTCCAACTTTATATTATTATTATTATTATTATTATTATTATTATTATTATTATTATTATTATTATTATTATTATTATTATTATTATTATTTTATTTATTATTATTATGTAAATACAGGTGTACATTGGGCACAGCAATTGAACAGGGTGGTTCAAATAAAATGCCACCCAATGCAAAATATAGCTTCAGAGGCTATTCAAGTTCAAATGAGAATCTATGTTAAAAAAAAAAACAAGAGCTTTCTTTGTTTTTCTATTACTAGTGAAGAGTATAACTAGTTAGTAAACTGCTGTAGCTCTTTGCACCTACTGTATGTGGAAAAAACCCAAAAGATAGTTGGATGGATGTATGGATTGTGTCTCTGTGCTTGTCAACATGTGCATGTGAGAGAGAGAAAGAAATAAAGAAAGAAATGTATTCTCTTTTGGAGTAAAATGCAGAGTAATGAATACTAAGCCAAAGAAAAGTTGAGATAGGAAAAAAAAATATAGCTAAATTACACTAATTGTTATACTAATAACAATCACTATATCCTTCTATGTTTTTCTGTTCTTACAAACCATTCTTGTTTCAACCACATCCATATATTGCTTTTTATATTGCTTTTTTTTCAAATCCATCCATAGGTTTCTTTGTCTTCCATCCCTCCCTCCCTCCCTCCCTCCCTTCCTTCCTTCCTTTTNAGTCCTGGGATTTCTTGCTGGTCACCTGTCCAATTACTATGCACACCTGTTCCTGCTGAGCTTTTTCTAGATCAGCCATGGTTGGCTAAGTGCTGCTACCACTGTGATTAAGCTGATTAAAAAATAATAAACCATGCTTTCAGTTTTACTAGAAACAAATTTTCAGCTGAAATTTTATGACAATGAAGGGAGAAGTTAGCCTCACCTAGCAAACCTACATTTGTGAACAATCTTTAGGTACATTCCTACATGAAGCATGATTTAAATTTGAAGTGACACAGATCTAAGATATTTATGTCACTCTAAGAAGAACTAAAAATCATGATGAGATAGTGAAAATTATCATAGCACTTTTAATTTTCTATATTGCATTTAGAGAATGTACGGGTAGACCAACTCAAGGTTTACTAATTTCCACTCAAATCATTCCTCCAAGGCAGAACCAAAGGGTAGCTAAAAGAGCGGGTCCTCATTTGTCTCCAGTTTAATCTCTTCTCTTCTGTATCTGTGCAATAGTGCAACACACACAATGAAATTTTAAACCAGAGTTTTATCAGTTGCAGGTGCCAGACAGGTTACAGTGGACAAAGCAAAATAAAGGAGAATCTCTGAGATATTTGAACAAAGTAAATTTAAATATAAACAAAAATCCTTGTATCTAATCACACTTGGCCAAATAAAACTATTCTATTCTATTCTATTCTATTCTATTCTATTCTATTCTATTCTATTCTATTCTATTCTATTCTATTCTAATTCTACGTACAGTTGCGGACCTGCGCCTTTTTAGCCGAGCCCTGAAGGCCCATCTGTTCCGTGCGGCCGGCCTGGCGTAGTTTGATTATGTTTTAGTGGGGGTTTTGTATGGGGTACTTTTAGACCAGGCCTGTTATTTAATTTGATTTTAGAACAGAAACTTGTGTATATTTATCGTGGTTTTTATTATCGCCTGTTCACCGCCCTGAGTCCCGTAAGGGAGATAGGGCGGTATATAAATTCAATAAATTAATTAATAATAATAATAATAATAATAATAATAATAATAATAATAATAATAATTCCAGTATAAAATTCTCCTTTGAAAGTGCTGCTCTGAGACTCTATGTATGTGTATGTTACTTTGTTACTTGTTTCCTAACATAGGATTATGAAAACATGACTTTTCTGGTTCCTCACCCGGGATGTAAAAGCTGAAGTCAACAAAAATGTCTTTTGCTCATTCTCTGCAACGGAACAAGAATGTCAGTTTCCTAACTGAATGTATATTACAGAGCACAAACATCAGGAGATTATTGTGTTTGGGAAAGTCTAATGGAGATCTGCCGCTCAGTTATGCTATTGATTGCCTTTTTATGAATTCTTCCTATCATACATGATTTTACGAGCCATATCGGGAGAGGCCTACTTTTTATCTTGATCATTATCCAACATATGAGATAATGAAATAAGCTACCCTTTATCTCTAGAAGGAAAATGGAAAATACTTGGGTTCGATCAAGTCTACTATTTGTGAAAGCAATCCACTTCAGCAGTGGTGGCACAGTGGCGTGTTACAAGTGGTCTTGAGCCAATTTTCATTCAAAGATTAAGTATTTCAAGAAAGGTTTCCTAAAAGCACTTTGATGTTATCAATATCATGGATGGTTCATTAGCACCATCCTTTTTTTTAGTTTATTATTTATTTTTTATTTAATGGAAAAAAGCAGTATTACTAAACAAAGTCATGAAAAGAGTAGGTAATCTTCGCTTCTTCTGAAACTCCATGGAAATAATCTTTGCCCTGACCTCTTGAGGGCCCTGCAAAAACAGGTTATAGATTTGGTACTCTAGACCAGGGGTAGTCAACCTTGGCTCTTTTATGACTCGTGGACTTCAACTCCCAGAATTCCTGAGCCAGCTGTGCTGGCTCAGGAATTCTGGGAGTTGAAGTCCACGAGTCATAAAAGAGCCAAGGTTGACTACCCCTGCTCTAGACAATAGGCAGTGAAGTATATGTTGCCTCTGGCAGGACTGTGGGAAGCACAATGTGGAAGTTTACATGGTCTGAGATAAATCTCAACAAGATGCCTTTTACATCAGGATCTAAGGCCAACTATGGTTTTAGGAAACTTTGCAAGATCAAATTCCCTAGCTAATCCATCTCAGGGTGTTATTAATAGCAATAGCAATTAGATTTATATACTGCTTCATAGTGCTTTATAGCACTCTCAAAATGATTTACACAGCATATTGTCTGCAACAATCTGGGTCCTCATTTTACTGATGGAAGGCTAAGTCAACCATGAGCCAGTTAGGATCAGACTGCTGGCTCTAAAGCTTTGTGAAATACTTCCTTGTTATTAACCTTGGTTGTACAGAATTCTCAACCTTTTTGAAGCCCCCATAGTTGATAAAATGTTTACATTAAAGAACCATTATCCTCTGGATTTGAGAAAACTGGGGAAGGAGCCTACAACTTCAAGCTGATATGGTAAAGAAAGATGTACAGGGCGTTTTCCTGAATTGGAGTGACCTGGGATATTTAGAATCCACTGCAGGACTTCAGTGGTCACTAGATTCTGAAAATATAATTTCCTTAATCATTTGCAAGAAATCAAGGAAAAATGCTGTGGCAAATACATCAGTGTATTGTGACATAAGTGTTGATTTCAGCTGATGCATGTTCAGAAAGGAGGGAGGGAGGTTGTGTATGCTTGGTTTCTCATTTATGTATATAACATTTTTCAGAATAACTCTGTTAGTGCACCCTAACTTGAGAAACTTTTTACAGAACTGGTCTTTCCTTTTTTCAGAATTTATTCTTCATTTCTAACGATAGACAGATTGTGTGGGAGCCTTAAGATATGGAATTTTTAATAGAGCCATTTGGTCATTACAGAAATGACCATATTAATGAGCATTCTTTGCAAGATTCCAAGCACAAAAATTTCTGCAATGTGTACTTCCCCTGGAGCCTAACATCTGTAGTGAACATTTGGATGCCCTGAAAAGTGAAACATAATAAATCAACTCAAGAGTTGAAAAGTCATCTATTTCATGCTTGAACAAAATGTTAATACCCTGACAGTTTGGGAATCTTTAATTTGTGGCTAGCTGTTGTGTAGTAGAAGGTACTCCTAAGTTCCTCACCTGCCTACTTTTGTCCTTGGTTTCCTGAAAGTTGAGCATAAGAAGTAAAGCTGGACAAGTTTTTTTCAAAAACCTTTTTATAAACCAGAGGAGTAATTAGTGGGGACTTATAACTTCCTGAATTCACATTCTGAATTATTAACTGTTATTATCTAATATTCCAACAAAGGAGATAGGAATGTCTCTCCAGTGTGAAGATCATCATTTGAATCATTTTTTTCCTGTACAGATCTAAGGAATGTTGTACATAATACATCAAATTGGTACATAACTTTGTGTGTGTGTGTGTGTGTGTGTGTGTGTGTGTGTGTGTGTGTGTGTGTGTGTGTGTGTAAATGTATTAACTGCAGCAGATCAGATTTATTGAACAGGAAAGTAAGCTATCTTTTTATCTGTTCTAAATCAAAATGTATTTATATATAATATGCTTGCTGTCCAGTGTTGCAGTAACTCTATCATTTGACTTATTTGTATACTTTGTGTATAAAACCAAGCTCTGATAATTTTAGTTCCCTAAATTCTGTTCTGAGATTGCATCACATATGTGATTTAAAATACAGCCGGTGATCATGGCATGCTTTTCTTGAATAATGTCTTCAGAATGATAAGATTTCTTGGATTAAGTGTTGTTGTCACAAAAACATTCATAGCTCTACTGGAAATACTTAACTCTGAATGAGGATACATAGTTCCATTTTCATGTAAAGGTGCATTCAGTAAGTTTAACTGCATTCTGATTTTCTCTGTCCAGCAGTGCATTCATCTTCATAACAATCCCACTTTGGAGGATTGGAATATATATACTTCACTGTAATGGACCATAGTCAGATTCCTACAATGCATAATGCCTTACTCTTTGAACTCATACATGTGTTTATGAAGCAAGCTTTCCAAGAAAATTAGACAACTGTACTATTTAAAATGTTATTCTATTACAACACATTGCTACTCGTTTGAAGTACTGTTATTTGATCATCAAGAATGAAAGAAAAGTCATTCTAACAATTAACCAGTGGAACAACCTGCCTCCAGAAGTGGTGAATGCTCCAACACTGGAAGTTTTTAAGAAGAGACTGGACAGCCATTTGTCTGAAAGGGTTTCCTGCCTGAGCAGGGGGTTGGACTAGATGACCTCCAAGGTCCCTTCCAACTTTATTATTATTATTATTACCTCTAGGCTTGAGCTGCTTTACAATACATAACAGGACATCTCTTCTGTACTACATAAAATAGAAATAATAGCCTAGGATTGACAACTATGAAACACCAGAATTATCAGTAAACACTCAAAGTTCTACAAGTTTAAAAAGGAGGGGAGGAAACTGGGGTAAAGAATAGTGAAAAAATCTTTGAAAATATGAATTTCCTTTGCCATAAGTGTTACTCTTTTTCTTCTCTGTATAGGAGGAACCATTTGTGATGGTGTCAGAAAATGTTTTGGGCAAAACAAAGAAATATCAGGGTTTCTCAATTGATGTCCTGGAATCTTTATCTACTTACCTTGGCTTCACATATGAAATTTATGTTGCACCAGATCAGAAATATGGACTTCCAATGGAGAATGGGACTTGGAATGGACTGATAGGAGAATTAGTATTAAAGGTAAGGAGATTCCTCACCACTGACTGAAAACATATAGTGGGCAAGTGCATGTATATACTTTTATTTTATATTTTAATTTCCTAATTAGTTCTAGTCATTAGACCAAGCCCAAATAAAAGGAAATTCAGTTAAATACTACTGAAATTAATTGAATTCTGAATGTTTCTGCCTTAGTTCTTCTTAACATTCCAAACTGAATTAAGATGTTGTAAGTATAATTACCATAGTAAAATGGAAATAAAATAGAACAGTAATTAGAGCACATTTAGCTTTAAAAAGATCAAGAAAGTGGACAAGTCATTATAATACTTATGGGTGTTGCAGTGAGTGATTGGAAATTGTTTATTTAATTTAATAAAATAAATGAAGTACAATCATTATGTTTAAATAAAGATAATGATTAAGATAAAGAAGCATCTTGGGGAGGTTAATGTGTTGTGGAAAAGATGTCAGAGGAAACAGTTCATCAGCCATTTCCCATTTTCTTTTACTTGTAACCTGGCCCAGATTGTTTCAAGATTTTTAACAAATGGAGAAAAGTATACTAATACATTATATACTAATACATGACCTACAAGTTCCCTTCCAACTTTATTATTATTATTATTATTTTATTATTATTATTATTATTATTATTATTATTTTATTATTTTACTTTATTTTATTTTATTTTATTTATTATTATGTAAATACAGGTGTACATTGGGCACAGCAATTGAACAGGGTGGTTCAAATAAAATGCCACTCAATGCAAAATATAGCTTCAGACACTATTCAAGTTCAAATGAGAATCTATGTTAAAAAAAAAAAAGAGCTTTCTTTGTTTTTCTATTACTAGTGAAGACTATAACTAGTTAGTAAACTGCTGTAGCTCTTTGCACCTACTGTATGTGGAAAAAACCCAAAAGATAGTTGGATGGATGTATGGATTGTGTCTCTGTGCTTGTCAACATGTGCGTGTGTGAGAGAGAAAGAAATAAAGAAAGAAATGTATTCTCTTTTGGAGTAAAATGCAGAGTAATGAATACTAAGCCAAAGAAAAGTTGAGATAGGAAAAATATATATAGCTAAATTACACTAATTGTTATACTAATAACAATCACTATATCCTTCTATGTTTTTCTGTTCTTACAAACCATTCTTGTTTCAACCACATCCATATATTGCTTTTTATATTGCTTTTTTTTCAAATCCATCCATAGGTTTCTTTGTCTTCCATCCCTCCCTCCCTCCCTCCCTCCCTTCCTTCCTTCCTTTTGTAATTCAGTCTTTATACATTTCCATTAAATTACAAAAATACTTCAGTGTGCTTCTTTTATACCAGTCACTCAGTTTTGTATTCAATATACATCATTTAGCATACAATCATACTTGGACCTATCTATTTGACATTTACCACTCACACTACTTAAGTATCACAATTCTATTGCATTCAACTTTTTTCTAACAATTCCATCTCTTACTTGTTCTTACTCTTACTAGACTAAAACATATGGAAAATGATTGCAGGAATTGAGTTTGTCTAGCCTAGTGAAAAGATGGAGTAGGGAAAACATGATAGGAGAGTTCCAATAATTGAGGGGCTGTCAGAAAGAAGAGGGGGTCAACCTATTTTCCAAAGCACCAGAAGGCAAAACAAGAAACTAATCAAGGAGAGAAGCAACCTAGAACTAAAGAGAAATTTCTTAACAGTGAGAACAATTAACCAGTGGAACAGCGTGCCTTCAGAAATTGTGGGTGCTCCATCACTGAAGTCTTTTAAGAACAGATTGGACAGCCACTTGTTTGGAATGATATAGGCTCTCCTGCATGAGTAGAGATTTGGACTAGAACAGGGCTTTTCAACCAGTGGTATGGGTACCACCTGTGGTACATTGGCACCTGGCAGGTGGTACGTGAACATCCTAGAAAAGTGGTAGTGGGGGAGGGGAATGAGCTGAACCGGTGGCAGCACCGCACAAGCCTGAGCGAGAGATGGCTGGAGCTGCAGGGCTGTCAGGGCTCAGCGGAAGCACTAGGATCAGCGCTTCGGGGCTGTCAGGGCTCAGCGGAAGCGCCAGGATCAGCGCCAGGCTCCAGCTGGAGCTTGGCGCTGATCCTGGCGCTTCTGCTGAGCCCAGAAGAAGCGCCGATCAGCTGGAATATTGCAGCATCTCCAGGGTCTTGTGATTTACATTCAGATGCTTGGCAACTGATTCATATTTATGACGGTTACAGTGTCCCACAGTCATGTGAAGTGAACAAAACCTGCTGCAACCACCCAGCAGACGGGGGGAATAAAAACCAAACACCCCCCACCCCACCCCCACTGCCAATCCTCAACAGAAATGCTCACAATAATGAAAACCTCAGACAGGAGGAAGAATGCCGCCGGGCGGGAAGGCAGGTGTCTTGCTCGGCTGTGGCTTGGGGGGCACTTTTTTCAGTGCCACTGTAACTTCGAACAGTCACTAAGCGAACTGTTGTAAGTCGAGGACTACCTGTACTTTATCATTTTTTTCCTTTTGAGGGGGTCATCAAGTTTTTGACACCTTGCTAGGCGACTGGTGGTACTCGGATGCTGCCATATCCTAAAAGTGGTACAATGGGTGAAAAGGTTGAAAAGCCCTGGACTAGAAGATCCCCTTCCAACTGTGTTATTTTGTTCTGTTGTTCAGTTATAGTGTAAGCACAATAGGAAGAATCAGATCTATAATCCTGCATTTTGTGTCTAATTGTTTCCACTCAGGAAGGATTAAAATAGAGTCCATTAGCTAATTTACTCCTGGTGCAACCATTAGCGTAACTGATGGCAGTTCAGGCTTTCCTCCCATCAAGATGAAAGTTGAATAGAAGGTGCAAGGAAGTGGAAGATGCTTCTTAAAAAGGGACTAAATTACACTGGCAGAAGGAAAATTGAATGAAGAGCTAAATTAATAAGATTTCCCCTCTCCCTTTCTTCTTTTTATACCAAATGAAAGGGAAATTTTGGGACAATTTGATTTCTTTTTTTTCATATATTTTATTGATTTTTTAAAAGCATAAATCACTTAATGGTTGGTAAACAGTGTTTGCTGGGTTTACATTTGTAAAGAAAAATCATTAACAATTGGTTTCTATAATCCATAATCCACATAGTACATTTAGTTGATTTCCCCTTTTCCCCAAAATGTCTTCTTTGTGAACCTTGAAATAATACAGTTCTTATTATTTTGATAAATAACAGTTACATATATGATTTTTCCCCAATATTCCTAGAAATAATGATCACATCAATATAATATTTCTTTTCTTTCTTAAACCCTGTTACAGTCCTTATTTAGATTTGTTTCTCCCATAAAGTTCAAAGTATTCTTGCTGGTTAAGATTTTCTCAACAGTTAATTACATTTAAAGATTTAAATCCATTTTTCCCATATAAACCATCTCAGCACTTTTAAATTTCTTAAAGAATAGGTAAAAACAGTAAAGAAAAGGAAAAGAGAGCAAGAGTAAAGAACTATAAAAAGTAAAATACTACTTAAAATATATATTCCTCCTAAGCTAATATATATTCATTCCCAAAATTTCTTATTCTTTTTAACCATGATTAAAAATATATTTAATCTTTAAATATTCCATTTAATGTGCCAAGTCATGTAATCCTTTAACTCTTATTCAAAACATTTTTTCTTTTTTATACATTATAATTTCCCTAAATTCAGACACATTTAATTATCTAAAACATTTCCTTCATCTAAGCCATTTCAGCAGATATATATATTATATAATATAATATATATCAAGATATATATCAAGAAATAAATAAAAAGGGGGGGAAGCATACAGTATTATTTAAGGAATTCATCTCTCTTAGAATGACATATGTATTCAGAATCTTTTCTATTTCTTTAACCATATTCAAACAAATGTTTCTTTTTTAAATATTCTCTCTGGTAGATCCCATCATCTATTTTCTTAATTTTCACTTTGATCTTTTTCCTTTGATCAGTATCTTTCTTGATCAATGTGTTTTGCTGAATCAAAAAGTTTTTCCATATATTCATGACTGTTGCTGTAGGTATAAGAAGTAAATCGAATAAAGTATCTTTATGTGAGGCTTTTGCCTTTCCATGTTTCTTGAAAATGTTTTTCTCTTTCTTCTTCTTTGCTTCTCTTATCATTTCCTTTCTCTCTGATGTTTTCAACATGTCTACATTCCATTTTATCCAATCTGTTTTTTTGTCCTCAGATTTATTTTGTAGTCTTAAGGGATGAGTTATTTTTTCCATTTCTTGTAAATTTTTTCCCACTAGGATTAAATCATGTTTTCTTGCTTTGTTAAGTTCCATCTTTGAGTCTCTATTTTCAATTTTATGTCCATTTATTTGTTTTGTCTGCTCCTTCTCTGTTGTTGTTCCCTGGAAGTTTTTTTGTTGTAAAGTTAACTTAGAGAAAGATTGATTTGTATTTTCAAAGTTATTTTGGATTTCTTTGTGATTTGACCTCAGTGTTATTTGAATTAATTGCAGTATACTATATATCTCCTCCTGAGAGGTATGTGTGTTCTGGTGTGTTCTGTCTACATGGCTCTGATTCATGATGGCCAAAAGTTGGAGTTTTCCTTCTTATCTGCAAATAGCTTTAGAGTCCCAGTTAAATAGATATTTGTAATCCAAAGAGTTCAAAAAAGATTTTTTTTTCTAAAGTTTATAATTCTCTCTTTGTCTGCAGTCCAGATTGTTGTCTTTTTTTGGTTACAACTGTTCTTTATTATTAAAGCTTTGAAGGTCACAAACACAGATTAGCTTTTCCCAGGTTTTGGCAAGTTCTCTATGGAAATCATAGCTGTCATAATCTTCATCCACCATTAAGTGTCAGCATATATTTAGTTTTCAATACGAACAATGGTCTTTAAAATGAGAGTCTTAACCATTCAATAATCTTAAACTTGTCCAAAGTTAAATTTTAGCTTTCAAGTTTATAAATTTATTTCACTACCATATATTTTGATCCTCCATAGAAATTTTAATTTGCCAGTTC